TTTACGTACCGGTAGGTTTACGTTCTTGACTAATTTCAGCTTAAAAGTGCGAAACGTTGTCATGTTTGTTGTAAAAACTGTCGAATATTTCACATTTTCGCACTTTCGCACTTTCGCTCAAACGCGCATAGTTTCGCCTCAAAGATTGAACTCTAGTATGCTAAATTTATGTTGGAAAATGATTGTTCAGACAAAAAAACAACAACATGTAGACAGCGTACAAAACTGAGCAGAGTGCGTAATTAATCTAAGCGGAATTTTCGTTAGTCGTGCGACTGTCTGGTGTGTTTGTGAATTACGTTTCTATTTCACCCTCTTAATGCTCCAAATGAACCAATGAAAGACGCACAAAATTTTGGCACTTTTAAATGCGTTCTACTCAACTTGTACAAACATAGCCACTCTACACATTCTATTCAATCAGACTGTGAGCAATCTAGGTCAACAGACGGCGACCGACAATGAAAATTTTCGACATACATACAAATTAGAGATTTAAATAATATGTACATATGTAGGTACATACAAATGTACAACTATATGTATTTTTAAAAATTACTGGTAATTAGGTCATTTACTTACCCTCTTTTTGCGTGGCGCCTCCTCTTTGAAGTCTACAACAATGCCCTCATCCGAAGTGGACACTGATGTCGTGCGAATGCGGGCGCTCGCATCGTTCAATATGGCGCTTGTGTTGAGGCCTGCGTGGCCATCGTCGCTAAGCGGTGGAGAAGAGGAGCCCGAACTCCAGGAGCTACCCGACGACGATGAGCTGCCCGGACTAGAGCCAAACCACTTTTCTGAAAGCAAAAACAAGTCAAGAAAAAATTTTGAGTAAGGTGTGAAAGAGTTTAAGGATGGTAAGGTTTTGGCTAATATTGAGTTATTATATTCAGCCTCATTGCGTAAGTCGAAAGTTGGGCTAAATTGTACGACTCGACAACATTGGCATTGTCTACGGTCGTGCTAAAATAAGTAAACGGCGAAAATCGTCGAAAACTATGCAGTGCCGCCAAGTTTTTCCGTTTTAATATACTAGTCGACTGGAGATTTTAGGCAATGGCGTGAAATCTTCGATACGATTCGACTCTCGAAAAACGACTTTCATTCGATACGACTCTTGCAATGATGCTGATTATCTATTTGTGAGATTGCGATTATTTTTATTCTAACCTGCATTTTTCGGTGAATGGGAGAGCTTCATTAAAATCATTGCTGCATGGCATTCTTCCATATCTTCCTTGTCGCCGCACTGGCCGCCAAAGCAATCGTTTATATATGGCTGCGGACGTTTGCGTGAGCTGAAAGTAAATTAAAAAAGAAAGTGTGGATTAATTAATGTATTTTCATAAATGATGTCATCTAAAAATACAACATGAGATAAGAAAACGTACTTTTTCACAGGAAACCTATAGCAGCGTGTAGTAAGTGTTGTAATAGACAGCGAATTTCCTTTTTATTTTGTAGTTCATTATAAAAGATTAGAAAATAAACGAATGTGCTTTAAGTTTTAAATACATATCGTCACTAGACACGAATAAAG